CACCAAGTTGGTGTTTTTCTTTGGAGCAAATCACAAGTGTTGCACCTTTCTAGGACAGCTTCCCAACAAAAAACTCCAACCCTGAGAGGAACCGGTTTACCCCAAACCTCCAAGACAGGAGAAGCTTGTCCAGCATTGTCAGAGGACTGCACTAGAGCTTTGAAAAAAGATGCACAGGAAAACACGCTAGAGGAGCTTAAAGTCCAAATCCTATTCCCTCCCCAAAGGATCCACAATCACCCCACTCAAAATCAGAATCAAAATCAACACATTCTCAACTTCCGAATCCCTGAGACCCCTTCTAAAGCCCAAGTCCCAATCATACCCAAAACTAAATTCAGATGTAACCAAAAAGATAAAAACCAACTCCTTAAATAAGGAAAGTGAAAACATGAAAGGAAATTGCTCTTTCAAAGCATGTCTCCCACCCACAGATGCTCCCAAAATTTTACAAAAGTTCCAGAACAAAGGTCATACCAAATAAAAGAAGGTAGGATAGCATGAATGGATCTCCAAGGAGAAGCTCTTGTAGCCCTTGCCAAGATTCCCGCATCCCACCCATCAATCGCTTGCCCATGAATGCTCAAGATTACCTTAACCCACAATTTGCCACTATCCTCTATTAATCTCCAAAATCATTTTCCCAACAAAGCCACATTCCTCTCCTGAATGTTACCAATGCCTAATCCTAGGGGTGAGCATTCAGTTTATTCGGTTAAAAACCAAACCGAATAAACTGAAATTTTAAAAACCGAACTAAAAAATAAAAACCGAAACCAAAATTTAGAAAAACCAAATATATATATTATAACATATAATATGTATTATATATTATGAAATCAAATTTCAGTATATTATATATTATATGTTACATATTATATATTATATGTTACGTATTATATATTATATATTACGTATTACATATAATAATAAAAAATTCGGTTAGTTCGGTTAACCGAAATTCTAATTCTAAAAACCGAATTAGCCAAAAACCGAAATAGCCGAACTGATTAACCAAAAGCTGAAACGAAATAACCGAAACCAAAATTTTTTGTTCGGTTTTTTTGTTTTAACCGAATAGTGCTCACCCCTACCTAATCCACCCTTGATCTTACATCTAGTAACCACCTCCCAGCTAACCCTATGATCTCTTCTTTCTTCCCCTAGTTCCCATAGAAAATCTCTCATCAACTTTTCCATTATTTTGCTCACTGCCTCTAGTATCCTAAGAACTGGCAAAAATATACAAGCAAGCTAATCAAGGTCGACTTTATCAATGTGATCCTGCCACCCAAAAACAAATCATTTTCCTTCCATGAAGCTAGTCTCTTAGTGAATCTATCAACCATTGGATTCCAAAAGTTGATAATTCCCAAGTTATCACCTAAGGGCAGCCCCAAGTAGTTTAAAGATTGAGACACCACACATCCCATGATTTTTGCCCTTTCTGCCATCTCCCTCTCATCCATATTTATCCCCACCACACAACTCTTGTCAAAATTAACCTTCAAATTTGGCATTTTCTCAAATAGCTTAAACACCAATTTCATACTTCTAACCCACCTAGCATCATCTCCTTCACAGAATAAAATCCTATCATCAGCAAACTATAGATGAGAGATCAACAGGCTATCCCTACCAACCCTCCAGCTCCTCACCAAATTCCTAGAATTTGCTCTAGCTATCAATCTACCCAAAATTTCTGCAATTAGAGTGAAAAGAAAGGAAGAAAGTGGATCCCCTTGTCTCATCCCTCTAATTGTAGAAAAGTGATCAACCACTGCCCCACTCACCAAAATAGAGTATGACATGTCACAATGCACCCCTGCATCCACTTACACCATCTCTCCCCAAAACCAAAAGTCTCCAACACTTGCATTGAAAAGGACCAATCCACCAAGTCATATGCCTTCTCCATATCCAGCTTACATACTATAACGTTTTCTCCCAATTCTTCTCAAGTCCTCCACACTTTCATTTGCAATTAGGATCCGATCAACTATTTGTCTATTCATCACAAAGGCACCTTGATTATGTAAAATCAAATGAGGAAGCATAACTCTAATTCTCCAAGAAAGCACCTTGGCAATTAATTTATAAAGATTGTTTACCAAACTAATAGATCTGAACTCCTTTGGGTGAATTGCACCAGACTTTTTTGATACCAAAGCTATAAAGGTAGAATTTAGCCCCGGGATAATCACTCCTCTCTCAAAGAATTCAATGAAGACCTTATGGATGTCCTATTTAAGTATATCCCAGCAGTCCTGATAAAATGCCATTGTAAACCCATCTGGCCCTAGTGCCTTAGATCTACCCATAAAGTAGATTGCCTCCTTTATTTCCTCAAACTCAAAACTCCTTTCCGACCACACTTTGAGGTATTCTATAAATGGACTTGAAGTGATCCACAAATGCCCCTGCAATCTCAAATTGTTAAGTGAGAGTTATATCATCAACCACAAGGTTAGAAATGAAAATTTTCTTCCTCCTTCTATTAGCCAAAGCATGAAAATATTTTGTATTTCTGTCCCCCTCCTTGACCTGCTCATGCCTAGACTTTTGCCTCCAAATGATTTCTTCTTTAAATAATATATCCTCCAATTCTTTCCTTATTTTTATGAATGATAATAAATTTATTAATTCAGAAGCAAATTTAGAGTGAGTTCATACAACATCCCAGCGAGAGGCGCGAGCTGCAGCCCCTCCTTGAATCTTACAAGTAAGCTAGGAAAGAAAAGCAAGAATCACAACTAAGCCCAAAATAATTCTTCCCTATTTACCCCTTGCTTAGCTAACACATCTGACA